TAAAGGTCATTGCGTCCTCCAGGTGTTGCCTGCCGGGCTTTTCCAGATGGTCACGCGCTTGCCGGTGAGCTGGTCCATTGCTACAGGGCAGGATGCCACACTAGTGGGCGAAGATGGTGTCGAATGAGCATCCTGTTCTCTGCATCCAGCTCCCAGGTGTCAGTCTCGACCTCGCGGGTTCGAATCGACTCGGGCATCCGAAGCTGAGGTGGAAGCCCTTCCAACTTCCTTGCCGCATTGGCTGACGCTATCTGCTGCCACCTGGTCACCTGCTCCTTCACGGTTTGTCGAGCGCCCTGCCTCTCTGCCGATCTGCTCCTCGAAGGTCTCCGCGGTGGTCCGGTCGGGGTAGCCGTCCGCCTGCTCCACTCGTCCGCCGCGTTCTGCAAAGTGTTCTCCCAATCCTCCGACGTCTGGGCCTGTGACCGACTGGGTTCAGGATCCGGTGCTCCATCGTCCCATGGCTTTTCCGGCAGAGCCATCTCCGAAGTGCTGGGGCCGTCTTCGCCGAAAGGGTCGCCCTCCTTGGCGACGTCCACGAAGCGGTTGAGGTTCTTCAGCACATCCTGGACTGGTTTCACCACAGCCTCGCCCTTCTGCAGCAGCTCGGTCACTACCTCCTGCTCGCTGGCCAGTCGAAGCTGCTCGCGCACCGCCACAGCGAGGTGCCCATCAGCACCCAGATCACGGACACGCGGCCGTCTGTTAAGACAGATGGCTCAAGCATTGCCACCCGGCCGGGCCCGATAAAGCGCGGCTCCGGATTGATGTGCTCAGATCCTTGGCGGGCTCGTCTTGCCTTTAAGGTAGCACACCTCCAAACGCAGACCCAGTCACCCGGTAGTCCAGGACAGGTCGGGGCGCCGCGTTCTGCAGTCGGGTCATTGTCTCATAGGCGAGGTTCTGCCGGTGGATGTCCTCGGCCTTCGGGCGCCATTGCTGCAGTTGCCAAAATGCCTCTGGCCTAGCGCCCTGGTTCTTGTTGTCCAAAGGCTCAGGTTGCTCGCGCCAGGCAGCCGGGTTGGATCCGTACGCCCACTGATTCGGAGTGAAGCCCTTGACGGTGTCCGTGTTGTTGTGGGCAGCCGTCGCCAGGTGTCCACACGTCCGGGCGGTCAGTTCAGTGGCCTCATTGCAAAGGCGCCGCATCGTTTTCTTCACGGCCTTGATCGCCGACTCGACGCCGCCATTCTGCCAGTGAGCCTCTCCCGGTGTAACAGTCAGGCCACATCCGATCCAACCACAGAACTCTGCAAAGTCTCCTTTAGCCAAGGTTCCCAGCATTTGCCATGGCTGCGGCTTCGTTCCAAGGCTGTAGGGCACCACCAGCTGTTCGCCACGCTGGGTGTCCAGGCAAGCTTGGCTCCGTAGGTTCAACGCCTCGGTGACCACCCACTTAGGCATTCCGCGGTCTCTGCAGATTCGCGCCAGAGCTCGGTTCGAGGGATGGCCAGCCGCCTTGCGCAGGCGATGAAGCAGGGCCTGTGCTTGTTGCCGAGTTTTGTCCGACACGTGCTCGCCGCCATCGGCCCCAATGTCCGCGCCCTCTGCGGCCGCAACAACCTCCGCATCGATCTGCTGGGCCGCCGCAATGATCGCCGGAACCTCGTGCTCCTGTTTCTCGTACATGTACTCGCTCTTCCAGAAAGCCGCGATCTTCTCGATCATGCCCTCCGGGCAAGCGGCTGTTTCCAGGAACATCTTTGTTCTTGGGCACGCCTCTGTTGGCTCTCCGTGGCCGTGGCTGCCGTCACATAGCATATTCATCTTCTCATGGAACCGGGCGTCATTGTGGATGACGGTGTACTGCTTCCGGATCGGGATGCCTGTAGACGAGCACATGCCTACCACGCAGCCATCGATCCGGGTGCGGTGCGGCCGGAATCCTCGTTGTTGCAGCAGGTCCTTAAAGGCTTTCACCCTGGAGAGCGCAAAGTGCCAGCAGCTTCGGTGGGGATCTCCATGTGCACCAGGCCTCGGTGGTTTGCATCGAGGTAGGCCGTCGCAATCTCCGACCGCATTCACTTCTTGGGCCTTTCGGGGCTGTCCGCCTCGCTCACCTTCTGGAACGCACGTTCTTGGTCTTCTCCGGCTTCTCGTGGCGGTCCTCGTCCTTCGCCGTGCTCTGCGCCACGCTCTTCGCGGTGGCTTTCGGCTTGCCGTACAGCAAGAGTTTCTCTTGCGAGATTATCGCTATCATGTTCTTCACGTGCTTTGCCGTCATGCTCTTTGCCTCCCAGCCTTCTCCGCGAAGTCGTTCGAGCGCCTCCACGGTATTCTGGGGAAGATTGGTCTTCGTGAACTCCGCCGGGGCACCTTGGCCGGGGTGTAGCTGAGGCGGTAGGCACACTGGCTGCACTCGTTCCAGCGGCCATATCGGTTTGTCATGTCGTGCTGGCCGAAGCATGGCCATTGGGTGTTCTTCGACCTGGGGTCGCGATCGTCCGGGCCTTGGGTTCTCGTCGTGTCGTACTCCGTCTTGTCTCGAGCGCCACGACCCTTGCCCCTGCCCTTGGGGCGTTGCTTCTGCATCTCCTCGGCCGCTCTCGCGAACTGCCTCCTGGATCTCCCGCGCCATCTCGGTGGTGAGGCCCTGGCTGCCGCTCGCTGCCATGTCCGCAAAGACTCAGAGGAGATCGGGAACGTTGGGAGTCGCTGCTGCTCATTGCCGAGTAATAGATAGCGTGCCTCGTCTTTGGAAATGCCCAAGAAGGATGCTTGCTTCTGCACTTCCGCTTCCGACACTTGCACTGAATCCACAGCTTGCTCTGACAAACACACTGCCTCACTATCCCACTGGAAGTCTAGCATGTAGCTGTGGTAATACTGCACATGTGGAGGTGCAAAGGTCACTGACTTCTGTGGCAGGGCTGCTTGCATAGGCTTGCGTTTCGGAACCCATCGATACGTAGGCTTAGTCCATCTTGCTGAGCTAGTTGTAGTAGATGCTGAGGGCCTTGTTGTTGAAGTCCCGGCTGACGTTGTTGGCTTGCGCTTGGCTTGCTGGCTTGGGCCTTGAGGGTCTTCTGAGAAAGCGTGCTTGACTATGTCCATGACCAGGTGACCCTTGGGGGTGCTTCGAAGCTGGAGCATCTTCTTGCCAATCAAGCACCTACCCGACGCACAGCCAAGCAAAACATCCATCACCTTCAACTCCCGCATGCCAATCAGAACAGGGACTCCCTCGCTAGGCAACGCATATACCGCAAACACTGACTGGTCACAAACTATCTCCACCAAGTACGGTCGCTCGTGCTCTTGGACAAGGATCGCGTCTGGTCTGGCCGCTACCACTGCCGCACACAGCCGCTCCACAGCCGTCTGCCCTCCAGCGATGCCGTCGCGCCGGTGTCCACGAGGCCCTCTGAACCCATCATCTCCTTGCCCTCCGTCTTGGCATCCCGCTCAGAGTGGAGAAGATCTCGAGGCCCTGCACGGTGGAGAGGTGGAAGCTTCCCCAGTTGCCGGGGCCCTTCACATTCTTGGTTCCAGGCTTGGAACCTTGCTTTGGAAAATTGCCCTTGTAGCCCTTCTTGCCCTTGGCTGCGACCCAGTGCGCTTCCTCGGCAAACTTGGCGCCCTTCTTTCCTTTGCCGTAGCCCTGGCCCTTTGGCTTGCCCTTGCTCATGTAAGTCGAAGTCTGCTTCGGCCTCGTTCTCGCGCTGCTCGCCCTGCAAGCTGGCAAACACTTCGTCGTTCGGCACTTCATTGGGCTCATCTTCCTCCTCTGGCGGCCACTCTTCCTCCTCGTAGCCGCCGTCTTGGTAGTACGCCCACGGTCCAGGGTTGCACCACCAGCCATCGGTCTCGGCGCTCTGGTAGTTCACGTAGGCGGCGTCCTGGTAGCCGGGGCCGTCGTCAAAGTCGTCCTCGCTCATCTCGCCCCAGTAGGCCTTGTTGCCGCCGAAGGTCCTGGTCGAGCCCTTGCCGCCGCGGTCCTCGTACATCGCCAGCAAGGCTTGCCGGACCTCATGGTATCCGAGGCGGTTTCTCGTGGCCGCCTTGACGATCCTGCGCTCCTCCTCCGATGACGTGCTCATCTCCAAGACCATCCAGCCCCGAATCACATCCAAGGCACTCAGTGGCATGAGGCCTTTTTCCATCAACCTCTGCAGCAAGTCCTTGCCACGCTGCTTTGCCTTGCCCTTCTTCGAGCTTCTCCTCGCGCGCGGGGCGAACTCGTCCTCGTCCTCGTCTTGGCCGTCCTCGTCGTCGTCCTGGCCGTCCTCGTCGTCCTCCTGGGCGTCCGTGCCCTCCGGGGGGCCAAAGTACAGCGACTCACCCTCGACGATGCCACAGAAAGACTTGAGCTCGCCGATGTCCAAGTCATACTCGTCGAAGGTCAGCTCCTTCTCTCTCAAGAGCCGCTGCAAAGCTCTCAGCATCTCGTCGTGGGTCCTGTCCTCGCGCACCAGGAAGGCTGGCAAGGCTTCTTGTGGCTTTCCCTGAAGCTCCAATATTCCTTAAATTGAACATCGCTTAATTAAGAGATCTAGATAAGGCATGTTCTCTTAATTAAGGCATATTTAATATGCCTTAATTAAGGCATGTAGATTTCAGCATGTCGTCACATAGGTCGTAGAGATCGCCATGCGCGATATCGTGCA